AAAAAAAGTAGATCATAACTATATTTATGATAATTTTCTAGGCAAATTTGTCTAGAAAAGCCTATAGTTTAAGAGATAAGTTAATTAGTAAGTTTTTGAGTTATAAGCCAAGTCCTTAGATATGAAAATATTTTTGACACCCCCTGTAGTATTTATATTGCCAATTATTCAACTGGCTATCAATTATATTTTGGTAACTTTGATAATTAGTATACTTTTATTGAAACTTTTGTGAAAAAATTTTTAACTCCAATAAATACTTTTAGAAACCTCTTCTGTTTTAATTTCTATATAGCTCATAAAACCTCTGTGAATGAATGCTATTTGTTTTCTTAACCTCATTAACTCTTCTACCAAGTAGTAATACATTAATTCTCAAATTATACTTGAAATTTTCAGAAAATTTTATTAAATATTTAGCTCTTTTATAAGATATCCTACCAGAATTTATAAAGAATAACTTACTTTAAAATAGCTTGAAATTTCAGTCGATTCTGTGCTATTAGCAATTAATTTATAAAAATATCCTTCAATATAAGATATACTTTTAGGTTCAGATAATTTAATAAATTCTTGCATTTGAGATTACAATTTAATTGCTGTTTCTAAATCAAGTCTAAAAACAATATCAGATTTTGGAAGTTTACTGATTGTTGTTGAAAAAGTTATATTTTGATAAAAATAACTATTTTCTAATTAATTTATTATTATCCGGCAAACATATATGATCATGGTGCAGTTTTTGCACGTTATTTTTTAGACAGTTATGATATAACAACTAATAACTAAATTTTGTCCAATAAATTTTACCATTTTTATACTATTACTATTACATAGTAATATTTCAATTGCTTAATTTATTTTGCACAAAGATACATGAATTTTTCAATAAATTCTTTATTTTGTAACTTTTTTTCATCCTTTTCAGCATTCGTACCTGTCTCTTTTTGAGTATTGCTTTCTGAAATATTATGACCACATTCAACCAGTGCAGTACCTGAAACACGATTCTGAGAAGATCCATCAAAGTCATCAAATACGTTTACCAGTGATGCTTGCGAATCAGCACATTGAACATATAAACTTGCAGGAATAAAATCCTTGAAGATGCCATTTTCCTTAGGGGCACCACTTTTATCAGAAGCGATATTTTTTTTGGGGGCGACACTTTCCTTGGGGGTGACATTTTCCTTGGGGGCGACATTGACAGTAGCTTTAGGAATGGCATCGACACTTGCTTCGGGGGCATTATCTGGATAAAACAATAATTAATTAAATATTCAAAAAAACAATTAAATATAAAAAATAATAATATATAAATTGTACCTTCAAATGCTTTATTCAAAACCTGCATTAATACATTAAAAAATCTATTAATTCCTTCCCTTTGCATTACTGATTTTGGTCTTTCATATGCAGCTAAACCTTTTTGAGACTTGTGTCTTGTAATCGACATTACGACAGAATCAGAATACCCAAGTTTCTTCAGTAGTTGAACTGCAGTTTTTCTTTCTAAATGATTTGAAATATTACGAGTGCTAATCTGAATACCTACAGTTTCACATATAGTACACAAGTAATCTCTCAATATTCGTTCTCTAAATACATGTCCGTAATACCATTGTCCATTAAATTGAACTTAAAAAAATTAATATATTTAAGGAAAAAAAAAAAAAAAACACAATAAATACTTTTACCTGAATTTGTAGTAAAAGGTTTCAAATAAAAATTAGTTACTGCAGTTACTAGACGTTTACTTAAATAAAATTCATAATCATCGATAATATTTTTGATATTTGGCAAGCTGATTACTTCTGCTTGTGCATCATAATCCTCAAGCCCCCGCTGGTTGGTCTTGGACCGATACAATTTAACATCGATTCCTCCATCATATCTTTAATAAAATTGTTAATTTCAAGGCTTATATGTTTACCCCCTCGTAATGCTAATAAAATTGAATTGAAAAAAAAAATCTGCTATAACAATCCGTCTGGACTATTGCGTTGCATCATAGGGTGGTCAAGAATCTGTTTGACCTCATTCATGGTTAGTCCATCTGCCCCGTTTTTTCACCAAAGCCTTTCGCAGAAAGATTTTTCAGTTTTCCATTACGACTTGATTTAAATCAAAATACACCTTCAGATTGAGTATCTCGACTGGTTTCTCAATAACGGAGTGCTGATTAAGATAACGCCAAATTGCCGCCAAGCAACTTCTTACTGAGCTAGCATGGTATTCACCACCATCACGTCGCTTCATTGCACAGATAAACTTAGACAATTGGTCTTCTAAAACCTTTGTTGACATTAAAAGTTTCACATTTTCGATCATAACTTTTGTTACACTGGACCAATTTGGATGAATCAACCACCATTAGATTCAGCTCACTGAGACGGTTCTAATGAGCACAAAATCATGTGATTC